AAAACAAAATGCTGCCCTTTCGGTGATGGAAGTGGTCAAATGTAATCAACCTGCCACCAGGTTTCTGGCTGATCACCTTGAGGAACGGTGCCATATCAGGGACCTAGTGTTGGTCTCTGCTAAAGTCTAAAAAAAAAAAAAAACAAAAAAATTTTAAGTGCAGAATTTACTGTGAAACACGTTGATTACTCAGATGCTGTGAATATTGTCTTTAGGGTATTCATAAGAAAAGGCAAAAAAGGAAGGGACAAAAATCTGCCCCAAATGGTTTAAGAGGGCTGATGAATTGGCAAAAGAACCCTCAAGATCCTTTCTGTTTTTTCACAGGCCAAATAGGCAAGTTGAATGCAGATGTGGTGGGAATCACCACTCCTGCATCCTTCAAGTCCTTGATGGTGGCAGTAATCTCCGCAATCCCTCCAGGAATGCGATATTGCTTTCGGTTTACTATTTTCCTAAGTAGGGACAGTTCTAATGGCTTCCTCTTGGCTTTCCCTACCATAATAGCCTTACTCCATGTGTCAGGGATCCAATGTGGGGGTTTGCCAGTTGCTGAATATATCTATTCCAATTATACATTCTATAACTGGGGATTCACTACAGGATGGGTTTGAAGACCCACTGGACACATTGTGAGATGAACCTGAGCTAAGACTCTGTTAATAACCCAATGTCCATATGCCCCCATCCCAACTGGTGGGCCACAGTGACGTTTTGGGTCTCCTGGAATTAGTGTCAATTCAGAGCCAATATACAGTGTCCCCAAAAAGTCTGATTATTTCCTTTTCCCCAGTGAACATTCCCTCTGGTAAAAGGCCATAGGTCCCTTTGGGGAAGGCTGGGAGAAAGATGAACAATATAAATTTTTGGCAGTATAGTGGGATCCTTCTTCAAGGGCCCCACCCTCCCCTTCATTCAAGAGGTTGTGGGTCTATAAACTGACTCAAGTCTCGGAATTGATTGAGGGGCTGTGACTCTCTATTCTGGTGATTTGAGTTAGACTGCTGTTCACTTGACCTAGAATCCTTCCACTTGTACAGATCAAGTAAATATTTAGTAGATTTCCCATTTATTTCATTCCTAAGGACACCATGACTAAATAGCAAATGTCATATGTCTATATGAGTCAGATTATTCTGATTACTACTTTGACTCTGCTGGCTATTATGGTAACCACACCCACCTTGTCTTTGTTGATTGAGTGCTGCCACTTGGCCCCTTAATTCAGTTACGGCAGTTCTCACTGTCAAATCTGACTTACATAACACAGCAATAATGGCAGTCTTCAAGGATGCTGGGGCTCCCTTCACAAATTTGTTCCTCACTGTTGTGTAAAAGGTGTGTCTCTTGGGCTCACCATGTGTGGGTCTGTTGGTCTAACCTGATAAATCCACTCTAGCATGCCAATTTCCCTAAGCCTTTGGATACCTTCTACAGTATACCAAGGCAGGTCTGGTACTTCAACTTGATTTAGTGTAGCCCACTGCATAATCCATGCTTCAGTGAACCAACCAAATAAACTATTAGATCCTTTCTTAACCTCTCCAACTGAAACATGGAATGAAGAACTTGTGCTTAGCGGGCCCATATCAATAAACTCAGACTGATCCAACTTTATGTTCCTTGCACCATTATCCAACACCCTTAATAGCCATTCCCATGCATATTCCCCAGGTTTCTGTTTGTACATATTAGCAAAGTCAAGCTATTCTTTTGGAGTGTAGTATACCTCTTTCTGGGTCACACTTTGTACTTCATCTTTTGGGGCTCGCTGGGACTTAAGTCTGGTTATGGGTCTAGAAGCAAAAATGAGTGGTGAGGATGTATTCCGAGAACATTTAACAATGTCTTATAAGGCATCTGCCTTAGGTGCTGCCCCAGGCAATGCCCCAGATGCCTCCCCAGGTGATGACTCAGATGTCGCCCCAGGCGATATCTCAAACAAAGGCTGTTCAGACACAGCCGGGTTAATCTCATCAGATGGGGGTGGAGGGGCTAATAGTTTTACTGGATAGCGTGGTCTAGCTGACAAAGATGGAATAATTTCTTCAGATGGGAGAGGGCTGGTTCTATTGGCAAGAGTGATTTCATGGAATTTAAGCACTCAGTGTCCTCAGCTTCTTGATTATGTGCCCATATGTCCCCATACCAAGTTTCAGAATCCCATTTCTTCCCAATCAATGACCTCACTTTAACTTCAGACACCATTCGAGGTTGGGAAATCTATTGGTATTGTAATTCACCCACTCTTACCATAAGACTCTGGGTTTGGTTTTCGGCAATATCAGCTCTGTTACTAGAAGAAGTAAGGCTTTCTTTCAGGGAATGTGGCAACTTTGAGGTCATTTACGTGGCGCTTGAGTTGTGACTCTGAAGCCCTGAGTTCATCTCTTTCTTTTGCTACTTTTTCTAGTGAAAGTAGGGCCCACCAATCGTTTTCCTTATAGTTCTCATTCTGACAAAACTGTAGAAAAGTATCAAACATGCGATCACCCAGAGTCTTGCTTCTCACCAATACTTGATCCTTGGTGGTGACATTTTGTGTATTTCTATTGCCACCTCATGCCATGGATTAGCAGTGCCCTCTTCACTACTGGAAGCAGAATCATCAACATCTTTAAGACTAACCAGACTTGAGAACCAATTTAGAAAACTCATCCCTACAATTTTGTTTCTCTAGAACCACTCTTGGTACCAAATGTCTTAGGCTGGGTTCTCTAGAGAAGCAAAACCAGTGAAGTGTATATATATAGAGAGAGAGAAAGAGAGAGAGAGAGAGGGAGAGAGAGAGAGGGAGAGAGAGAGAGAGGTTTATCTCAAGACAATGGCTCATGTGGTTGTAGAGGCTGACAAGTCCCAAATCCTTCCTTGGCTCAGGCATCAGGCCGAGGCTTCTCCTGACTCATGTAGCTGCAAGGGCTGATGAACCCAAGACTGGCAGGTCACACAGTAGGCTGCTGGCTCACTGGTTGCAGAGGCTGATGAATCCAAGATCAGCAGGCAGTACAGTAGGCCACTGGCTCAAGTCCCAAGATGGGAGGTCAGATGATCATGAGCCGGATGCAAGATCCAGAGCAAGCATAAACCAGCAAGCTCTGGCAGAATGCCCATATATGATGGATGTAGGCCACACCTCTGACGAAACTCCTCTTAAAACTGATTGGCTGATCACATCAGATCTCATCATATAGGTGATTATATCATATCAGAAAATGGAGGATAACTACATCATTACATAACTGCTAAACCACATAATTATATAACTGCTAAACCATTGAGAATTATGGCGCAGCCAAGTTGACCCACAACCTTAACCATCACATTCACCAACACCAGTATTCAAATGTGTCAATTCTTCTTCATCTTCCTTTTCTGTTGTGCAGCCTTTTCAGGCAATATGAGTAGTGTCCTTATAAAAGAGGAGAAGCTACACAGAGATAGAGAGACAGTGGAAGATGGCCATGTGACTATGGAGATAGAAGCAACTTCGAGAGAAGGAATGCCAAGGATTTCCAGGAGCCATCAGAAGCTAGGAAAGACACATGTTAACAGTTTCTCCCTCAGAGCCCTCAGAAGGAATTAATATGGCTGATATCTTGATTTGGACTTCTAGCTTCCAGACTTGCGAGACAGTAAATTTCTGTTCTTATAATCTGCCCCGTTTGTAATATTTTACAGTAGCCCTAGGAAACTAAGACACTGGCAGAACTGAAGGGAGAATTAGACAAATCCACAATAATAGTGGGAGATTTCAACACTTGTTTCTCAGTAAACGATAGACAGAAAATCAGTAAAGATGCAGGTTTGAACTACATCATCAACCACCTTCACCTGATAGGCATTTATAGAACTCTCCACCCAACAGTGGTGAAGTATACATCCTTTTGAAGTGCATGTGGAACATTCACTAAGATAGGCCATATGCTGGATCGTGCACAAGTGTCAAGAAATTTAAAAGGATTGAAACCAACAGAGTTCATTCTCTAACCACAATGGAACTCAATTAGAAATCAGTAACAAAAAGATTTGGAAAATTCAAAAATATTTGGAAATTAACACACTTCCCAATAACCTATGATCAAACAAGAAACCCCAAGGAAAATTAGAAAATATTTCAAGCTGAATGAAAATGAAAACATCAAAATTTATGGGAGGTATCTAAAGCAGTACTTAGAGAAATGTTTACAGGCTTGAAAGTTAAAGCTATAAATAAGAAAGGTTTGAAATCAGTGATTTAAACTTCCTCTGTAAGAAGCTTAAAATCAAAGTAAGTAGAAGGAGGAAATAGTAAATATAAGAGCAGAAATCGAATGTGATAGAAACAATAAAACCAAAAATTAATCTTTGAAATTTGAAAAGTTAATCTTTTAAAAAATCAGCCTAGTCTGATCAAGTAAAAAAGAGAGAAAACACAAATGATTCGTACCAAGAATGAAAAGGATGCAACACTACAGATCCCACAAACAAATAAAGATAATAAGGGAATATTATTAACTACTTAATGCCAATATTCCACAACTTAGACGAAATGGAAAAATGCTTTGAAAGACACAATTGTTATCAAAATGGACATGAGAAGACATAGAATATTTGAGTAGTCATATCTATTTTGGAAATTGAGTTAGAAATTAAAAAGTTTCTCAGAAGGGAAGTTCAGGCCCAGATGACTTCACTAGTGAAATCTAGCAAACATTTAAGAAAGAAATAAGATGTTGGAATGGGCGCTAGAATGCCAGGCTCTTCTCTGGGGTGTCCCTGGGCTGGCTGGGCTGGGTGGTCTGCTCAGGACTCTTCAGGTGACTGGACATGGGCTGGGCAGCCTGAGATGCTGGCAGGCAGCCGCCTCTTTAAGGGTAGTGACATCATAAGGCTGTGGAATGCCGTGGCCATCCTGGAACTCCACGGCCTTGGCTGTTGTGGAGTGTCCATCTTCGTATCTCCACCTCCATGGAGTCGTGGGCCCGCACGTGACCGCGAAGGCACAAGCAGCAGAAGCGGCCATGGCCGAGGGGAGCGAGCTGATGAACAGGCTCATGAGCGAGAACGCCGACCTCAAGAAGCAGGTGCGGCTCCTGAAGGAGAACCAGATGCTGAAGAGGCTGCTCAGTGAGAGCTGTCAGGAGGGAGGTGGCCGTGCAGCTCGTGAGCTCGTCCTCCCCAGGGCCCCCAGCTACCCCGAGGCCTGCTCCCCTGGGGGTGCAGGTAAGACCTTGAGGGAGTCGTGGGAGGCTGCCCCCCTCTTCAATAGTCAGTGACTGCCACGGAAGAGTGGCCGGTGGCTTATACAGGATGCACAGGTTCTCCCAGCTTTCCAGGAGCACTGGGCTGGGCTCGGCTGGGCTCCTTCCTCTCCAGGAGTGTGGGCCAGCCAGGGCAAACAACATGAGGGTGGCCTGGCCCATAAGCTCTGGAGCCTCTGTTCCCATCTTGTCAGTCCACACCCGGCACGCAGGAAGTGTTGCCCATGGTGGGAGGACCCGTGGTCACAGGCAGAGGGAGCTAGCGAAGGGAGAGTGACCTGGTTTACCACGTGGTTAGTATCAATTCAACATTCTAGACTTTCTACAGGGAAGCAATTTGCTCTGTTTTTAGGGTTTTTGTGAATCAATTCCGTTTGTACACGGGAAGTTCGGTTTGGGGCATGGTTGATGGTGCGTGACCTTGGTGTGTGAGTGGCTCAGATGGTGGGGAGTTCGATGGAATCCCTGGCCAGCACTGCCTGAAGGAGTTTGATGACCAAGGAGCTCAGCTGGAAGTGGGGACTGCTCACACCCCCGAGCAGGACAGGGACAGAGGAACACGTCCCAGTCTGTCCAACCCTTGATGATGGGGCAGGTGGCCTTGCAGGTGCCCTGTTGTTCCAGGATGACAGGACAGGTGGCCTCAAGGATGTCCTGCGAGCCCTGCTGTTTTGCAGGAGCAGCTGTTCCACCAGGTGTGAAATGTTTTCTTCTCTTGAGACTGTTCCTGAGGTGGCTGCTGATTCCTCAGTGAGGGGCCTGGAGCGCTGGGCAGCAGCTCACTGGTGGGGAGGCTCCCAGGCCTGGCTGTGGGACCCTCTTTGAACACCTAGCTCCACCTTGGGCACACTGCACACCCCGACAGGCCGTGTGTGCAGGAAGTGGGGCTGTCATTCTACTTGAGTCTGGCCCCTGGCCCCGTGTCCTGTCCACCAGGCCCAACGGAGTGCATGGGGAAAAAGCCAAGATTGTGCATGTCCCAGCCCAAGGGACTCATCTCAGCATGTTGAAACCTTCATTCTCGAGGGGTCCTTGAGGAGGGCAGACAGGATGAGAGGGGCCCTTGGAAGAGATGGGCGGGAAGAGGAAAGGGACTCAAGGATCAGCCACGTCCGAGAATGGCTGGAGAGCCAGTTGTCCCTGAGCGCCAGCCTGCACCCATGTGTCCTGCACCCACTAGGCCTCATGTGGTGACCCCCCTGCATGTCGGGCCAGCAGTCCCAGGCCACTGCTCAGTTGTTGTGGCCACAGAGGCACTTTGTCCCCATGTCTGTGGTCAACGCTTTGACAGCTGCCGAGAACCATGTGATGTGTGCTGCCTCGTGTGTCCAGGGACTCCACCTGCCAGGCCTAACCTCAGGGCTCAGAGTCAGCACGGGTCAGCATGGGTCAGCACGGGTCAGCACAGCTCAGCACAGGTCAGCACGGGTCAGCACAGGTCAGTCAGCATGGGCCAGCACGGGCCAGCACGGGTCAGCACAGGTCAGCACGCGTCAGCATGGGTCGGCACAGGTCAGCATGGGTCAGCACGGGTCAGCATGAGTCAGCACGAGTCAGCATGGGTCAGCACAGCTCAGCACAGGTTAGCATTAGTCAGCACGGGTCGGCATGGGTCAGCACAGGTCAGCCAGCCCAGGCCAGCACGGGCCAGCACGGGTCAGCACAGGTCAGCACAAGTCAGCATGAGTCAGCACGGGTCAGCACGGGTCAGCACAGGTCAGCACAGGTCAGCATGGATCAGCACAGGTCAGCACGGCTCAGCACGGTTCAGCATGAGTCAGCACGGGTCAGCACGGGTCAGCACAGGTCAGCACAGGTCAGCACAGGTCAGCATGGATCAGCACAGGTCAGCACGGCTCAGCACGGTTCAGCATGAGTCAGCACGGGTCAGCACGGGCCAGTGTGGGTCAGCAGGAGTCAGCATAGGCCAGCACGGGCCAGCACGGGCCAGCATGGGCAGGGGCTCTGAGGAGCCCTGGGAGGTGGGAAGCACTGGGGGAGGGCGGAGGCCCTCGCTCGGGCAGGCCATCCCTGGAAGACCTTCGTGAGGAATTGCAGCTTGCCCCGGGCAGGGTGAGGACCCCTCAGTGCCTCCTCACCCCAAGCCCCACCCAGGTGGCCCGGCCAGCCCCCCCAGACTGGGCCCGGCCCCCTCAGAGCTTGTTCCCTTCATGCTCGGCCATCTCTCCTAGGCTTTTCCGCAGCCTCAAGATGTGTCGGGGTCTCAGGCCCACAATGCCGGCCAGACCCTGGGTGCCCCAGGGCAGCTGCCGTGCAGCTATTGTCCCACCGGCTTTTCCCTGCTGAGATGTGAACTTGGGAGCCAAGCTTGGGGGAAGGTCTCTTTCTTTCTCCTATTCCCTGGCCCTTCTCTGACCTCACAGACGGTGCTCACAGCTACAGGTGTGGTCACGTCTGCTTCACCCCCACACATGGAACCAGAGCAGTGTGGGCCCTGAGACGCCCCTCTTCCTTTGCCCTCTTTCCCCAAGTTCCCACTGAGACCCCTGCTTGGGCCAAGTGGCTGCAGGCAGCAGGGGGCCAGATCATCTCTGGATGGGCAGGGGGCCCATGGCAGGCTGCCCCCCAACCTCTGCTGCTTCAACGGGCGGTGCTGTGGATGCCCTCGGTGTCCGGGCCAGACGCGTGATGTCAGGGCGGCCCAGGCTGTGGGCATCTCCCTCGAGGCTGGTCCCACCCTCTGCCTTCTGCCCGCATGAGAGGGTCATCCTGGAAGGGGTGCAGCCTTGGCCTTGGGGATTGCAATTTGGAAACAAACACTGAGCTATTTCACAGACGGCAGAAGTTTATACACGAAGGTTTCAACACAGCAAAGCTTGTTCTGTTTCCGGAATCCCTTCACTCCTTGTTCAGAAGACGCATGCTTTTGAATCTGTTTTTCTTAGTTATACAACAATACGCGCTCACGGTAAAGTCTAACCACCACACGAGGATTTAGAAGTCAAGGCTCCATCTTTGCCACCTGATCCTGCGCCCCAAAGGCAGCCGCTGTCAACATTTCCCAGGTTTCTGTCTGGAACCCTTGATAGAGAGCCATGCATAAATCTGAGTATCCTTTTGGTTAACCTAAGGGGGATTGTGCTGTTCTGTAATTTGCTCTCTCCCCCCGCCTTAACCATCCATCTCAGCCCCGTTCTTTGTGGTCCTCCTCCGTGGATCTTCCTGGGTCACATCTGTCTGGAGCACAGACTCTTCCGCGTGATGATTCCCACATCCCATTCAGCGGACGGGCAGTGGGAAAGGCTGCCCAGCTCTCCGCCATCAAGGATGGTTCTGGACAGCAGCGTCGTATGCACACCTCTGTGAACTGTGCAGGGGCACCCTGAGGAGATCCCTAAATATGGATTCCTCGGGCCAAAGCCAAGCGCAATTGGAATGTTGGGACAGATCCCATCGCGTTGCTCTTCACTCCCATCACAGGGGGGACTCCATCCCTGACCTTCCTGACACAGCCCAAGACTGTCCCACCAAGTGGGTGAGAACGGCTCCAGTCCAGGCTTCCTGGGCTGCACGTCCTTCACTCAGGGATGTAGGCACCTGCGCCTCTTTAAGGGACCAGGGGGAGCAGCCAGTCTCCTCCTCAGCCTCCTGGTCCTCCTTGCCACCCACCTCTTCCCCAAGGCCAGCCTGCCCTCGTTTCTTGGTTCCTTATGGATTATCCTGTCCCCACACCAAACTGGGCATCGTTGGGTTGTCATTGGATGTTTCCACACAGAAGTGGTGCTGTTGGCCCCAGAGCTGAGCCTCCACCTGTCTCCTTTCCACTCGGGTCTCCCTTTCCTTAGTGAACGTAGTATACGAACCTAAGTACCAGTTACCAGTTGCTATTGAGTCAACCCCAACTCATGGCAATCCCATGTGTGCCAGAGTAGAACTGCGCTCCATAGGATATTCAATGGCTGATTTTTCGGAAGAGGACAACCAGATCTTTCATCTAAGGTGCCTCTGGGTGGACTTGAACCTCCAACCTTTCAGTTAGTAGCTGAGCGCATTAACTGTTTGTACCACCCAGGGACTCCTGAATTTAAGTGCCTGTGAGTATTCTGTACGTACTTTTCCCTGGCTCTTTCCTCTTAACATCACGACATTGTTATGAGTATCTATTTTAAGTGACTTTCGTATTCCAAATTCAGATGTGCCACAATTTAATGAACTTTTCTCCTCATGTTTGAAATCAAGTTCTTTTTAATCCCGAAGTAAATAATACTGCAAAAAGATTTTTTTTATACTTAAGATTATTTCCTTAAGATACATTGTTCTAAAAATAAAATCACTAGTTCAGAAGGCAGGGGTGATTTACTTTTTTAGTTTTTTTTTTTAAATCCTTTTACATTTCTCTGATATTCTCCTCTATTTATTTTTCCAGATATCTTTAGGATGATTTCATCTATTACAGTTATGTGAAACTGTTACGACTCTCGGTTTCTTCAATTCTCTTTAGCTCTCTCTCATATACCAATCTTTCACATTTGTTCATAAGTTTATTCCTTGAGCATTTTATGTTATTGGTTGCAATTATGGATGAGAGTTCTTTTTCCAGTATATTTTTAGAGTGATCAATGTCACTGTGTTGGAAATTTTAAAATGTATGAATATACAATTTTACACAACCTTCTGTTGTAACTTGAGAATTATCTGCCTATTCTTTCTTATATCCCTTATCTCATTTCTAATTTTATTCACTTATGTTTTCTTTTTCTAGCATAGCTTTTCCAGTTTTGTCCATCTTAGCAGACTTTCCATAGAACTATTTTCTAATTAACATATTTCTACTGTTATTTTTATTATTCGCTAACTTTCACTTTTCTTAAGGGTTTCTCCCCATATCAATTTCATTGTTTAATTTTTTGTGATTTTTTAAAAGTAATTAAAGCATTTAAGTTGATTTCACTCTAAATGCAGTTTTGAATGTAATGATGTCTTTTTCATTTCTAATGTTCATTATTTTCTCAATAATAATTTTTTTTCCTATTTTTACTTCTTTCTTGATCTGATATTTAAGAGAATGTTTAATTCTAAGGGAATTATAGAATTTTTTGTTGACTCTGCATTATAGTCTTATTGTAATGTGGCCTGAAAATATATCTACTTTTTGAGTTTGACTGAGAATTTTTGATGCCTAATGCTTACTGAATTCTTGTAAAATGCTCTGTTGATTGTTTCTGGGCCATGCAGTTGTCTGTGGGCCACGAAGTGGCCGTTAGGGGTCTGGCTCTGGGATGGAGAACTTGGCTTGGATTCCAGCTTTGACTGAGGCGGTCACTCGTGTGGCTGAGCCCTACTCCCTCCTCTGAACATGTACAGATGACTTTCTTTCCTTTTGAAAAATTTTTTCTTGGAAGTCATTGCTGGGGGAAGATGAATTGGTTCCTGCATAGGCATGTTTTAGTATATAATTATTTTGATACAGCTCTTAAAAAACCACTTTGTTTCTCAAATATATGTTTACTTTATTGCTACCCACTACCCAATGCCCTCAAGTCCCTTCTGACTCACAGCGACTACAAAGCTCTTCCAAGGCTGTAAATCTCAATGGAAGCCGACCGCCACATCTTTCTCCCGAGGAGCCCTGGAGGTTTCCAATCTGCCGACCTTTCAGTGAGCAGTTGAGTGCCTTCACCACTGCACCACCAGGGCTCCTTACTTTATTGATAGTAGAACAAATTCATGACATGAGGTTAGAAAAGGATTTCATAAACCACAAAAGAATGGCTACATTAAATTTGACTATGTCACATAAAAATTCCACATGACAAGAGTTACCATAAAAAAGGCCAAGGATAAATAAGGTAAAATATAAGCCAATCACAACCAGAAGAAAATATGTGCAACACATTTAATCAACAAGGAATTAGAATTCAGAATGCATACGGAACTGCTACAAATAATTAAGATAAGACTACCCAACCAAAGACCCGGCAATCTGCTCCTGTAAAGATTACAGCCTGGGAAACTCTACGGGGCAGGTCTACTCCATTGTATAGGGTGCTATGAGTTGGAGTCGACTCGATGGCACACAACAACAACCACAGCCCAACCAAAGAGGAGGCGTAGATCATTCACAGAACAGAAACCCGAGAGGCCAATGAACTTGTGAGAAGATGTCCAGCTTCACCAGGGATTTGGAACAGTACAATAACAACAACAAAACACCACACGACACCTGTCAGCCTGTCTGACAACACCAAGTGCTGATGAGGGGGTGGGATGGGGGACTCGAGTGCAGTGCTTGTGGGGGTGGAACTGCCCCTCTATTTTAGAAGCAAAGAAAGTTGCACATGCATGCACCCTGAGCCCAGGTGTAGACCGCGAGGATGCTCACACTGTGAGCAAGGAGGTGAGCCAAGGATGCTGGTGGCAGCATCTGGAAACAGCTGTGTGTCCATCGATGGGACAATGGATAAAAACAGCTATGTGTGTGTGTAACAGTGTGGGTGTGAGTGTTAGAGTATGAATATGTGAGTGTGTATGTGAGCATGTAAGTGCGTGAATGTGTGCATGTGTGTGGAGAGTGTGTGCACGTGTATAAATTTGTGAGTGTGCAAAAGTATGTGTGTGTAATTGTGTGAGAGCATGAGAGTGTTAGAGTGCCTGTGTGTGTGTGTAAGAGTATGTGTGCATGTGTGCATGAGAATGTGTGTGTTATAAATTCATGAGAGTATGTGCAAGAGTATGTGTGTTTAAGTGTGTGAGAACATGAGAGTGCCTTGTGGGTGGGTGTGTGTGGGGGTGAGTGTGAGAGTGTGTGTCAGTGTATGTGGGTATGTGAGTGTGTGTGTGTGTGTGTATGTGTGTGCACTTGTGTGCCAGGAAATGGTTAAATGAACCAGGTAGCCACCAGACGGCTCCACACAGATGAGTCTCAAAAACAGAATGTTGTAGCACAGAGTTATGTTGTGGAATCAAATGTATAGGGTGACACCATTTATGTGAAATTTAAAGCACACAGAATGTTGCCCTGTAGTGTGTGTGGACAACAGGTGTGCGGTAGGGGACTGGGGCATACACACCCACTGTGCTCCTAAACCCCAGGCAGGCGGCTCCCCAGGTAGGCAGGGCGAGAAGCCTGCGATCAGACGGGTGTAGGGCTGCTTCACCACGCCTGTAACTCCCCTTGCACACAAGACACGAAGTGGGAGGAGGGCCTTGAGAATGGTGGAGACGCCGACAGGTGCCCAAGCAGGGGAGGGGTGTGGAGGTTTACTGAGGTGTTTCTGCACTTCTCTGGGTGATGTGCTGGGGATACAGCTTGACTCTTCTCTCTTCCCCATGCCAGCTCCAGAGTACGGAAGGTTTACCAACGTCCCCAACACATCATCCCAGCTGCAGGAGTCCTCCCTGGAGGACCTGCTGTGCTCGCACGTCAACCTCTCCAGCGAGGATGAGGTCTCCCCCGGCTGTGCGGCTTCTGCCTCGGCTTCCTTCAAGGCCTTCCTTGGGCCCCAGGAGCTGCACTCGTCACGAAGCATGGACAGGAAGCTGTCCCCACTCCTCGGCCCTCTGCAGGATGCCCTGGCTGACAAGACACTGCTGGAGCCCAGAGAGATGGTCCGGCCCAAGAAGGTGTGCTTCTCGGAAAGCAGCCTGACCTCTGGGGACAAGGCTCGGAGGAGCTACTACCTCAGCGGTACGGCAGGCGCCGAGGGGCGCATGAGGTGCGGGGTGGGTGTGCCGGGGTGTGGGGAGAGGGAGGACGGGAGGCACAGGGCAGGGGGTGCAGGGGGTGCAGGACACAGGATGGGGGGCACAGGGCAAGGGTGCAGAGCTCAGGGCACAGTGTAGGATGGGGGGTATGTGGCGTAGGCATAGGATGAGGGCACAGGACAGGGATGGGGTCACAGTGTACAAGGCATAGGGCACAGGGTGTGGGGTGTGGGGCACAGGGCTCAAAGCACAGGGTACAGGGAATGGGATGGGGGGCAGGTGTGGGGTGCAGGCACAGCCTGTCTGTGGTGGGAAGGATGCGTCTGGGCACTGGTGTGGGCCCTGCTCCTCCATCCAGAGGTGCAGAGCAGAAGGTGGAGCTCGGTAAGTGGCCAGGCCAGGCCTACATCCTTCCCAGGGGCTGGGCAGGGTCACAGTGACTCTGGGGCCTCAGTTCCCCTGGTTGTAAACAGAGGGAGTGTGACTAGATGGCCTCCAAGGAACATTCTGTCTCTGCATCCTGCCTTCACAGGGAAGTGGGCTCTGGAAGGCAGCGCAGCAACATGTCCTCTGGGGCTCAAGGGTCTCCTCCCTTGGAGCCACGGGCCCCCCTCCAGCCTGTTCTGCTCTCTGAAGCTGGAGGAGGACAACGTATTGCCGTGTTGTGACCTGGTCCTTATTTAGGGGTTCAAGAAGAAAACCAACTCCAAGTGGCTTCTGGAAATACCTAAGGCCCTGGCACCCAAACCTCTTGGGCCCTGAAGGCCTGCGTCTGTGGCTGCTCCATCATCTTAAGTGCCTGGAGCCCCCGAGGTGGGGTCCAATCTCGCTGTGGAATGTTTGGTACTTCCAGACAAGAAGATGGACGTGTAGCTAGCTGGTCAGAGAAGTGGGGGCCTCGATGTCCCCACCCACCCTCCCAGGGCCACTGTTGGGGGAGAGTCAGTGGCAGCAGGGCCCCCATGCACCAGATGAGACATGGGAGGACGTGCATGTGGGCACCTGGGGAAATGAGGTGACTTTTTGGGGAGCAGGAAAGGTGCCCGTCCCTGTAGCTGGGCCCTGCCTGCCCTGAGTGGGCACCTTTCTGCCTGGAGCCACTTCTCACATGAGCAAAGTAGTCTCTCCACCCCCGAGCACAGAGTGTCTGGTGGCGGCCATTCTCTTAGTCGGCTCCACATGTCACCCTAAGAGGGAGCCAGAGTATCTTCCCAGCAGCCTCAGCTTCTTGACAGAGAAACTGCTCTCAGACCACAGACAGTGGCTTAAGATAAGGAAAGTGCAGTTTTCAGATTCTGCCTCCAGCAGATGAGAAAGAGCCAGCGCAGGTGCACCAGGTCAGTGATGTGGGCAACTCAGTGTTCACTCTGATAAAGGTCAGCTTTGGCTTAAGAGAATCAGCAGTGTATGAAAGTTCCAGTTGTTTCACATCCTTGTCAACACTTGGTATACTCAGTCTTCTTAATTTAGCCATTCTAAAAGGTATGTGGAAACCCTGGTGGCATAGTGGTTAAGAGCTTTGGCTGCTAACCAAAAGGTTGACAGTTCGGATCCACATTGTGGTTTAAATTTGCATTTCCCCAATGACTAAGGATGTTGAGTGTTTCTTCATGTGCTTATTTGCCATCTGTGTTATCTTCTTTGGTGAAATGTTTGTTGAAATCTTCTGTCCACTTTTCAAATTGAGTCATTTGTCTTATTATTGAGTTGCAATAGTGCTTTATATATTCTAGACACAAGTCCTTTGTTGGATATACATTTTGCAAATACAGTATCCCAGTCTGTGGCTTGCTTTTTTATTTTCAAAACAGTATTTTTGAAGAGCAAAGGTGCTTAATTTGATAAAGTCTAGTTTGTTGATTATTTTCTTTTATAGTTCACGCTTTTTGTGTCCTATTTAAGGAATCTTTGCGATACTCAAGGTCACAAGGATTCTCCATGTTTTCTCCTAGAAGTTTTAGAGTTTTAGGTTTTACATTTAGGTCTCTGGTCCATTTCAAGTTAATTTTTGTGTATCGTTTGAGGTATGGATTGAGATTTGCATATAGATAGCCACATATTCCAGCATCAGTTGAAAAAAAGCATCCTTTTCCCATTGAATTGCTTTGACACCTCTGTCAAAAATCAGTTGTCCATATATGTGTGGGTCCATTTCTGGACACTCCATGCTGTTCCATTTATCTATCTGTTTATACTGATTATTGATTATTGCAGCTTTATAATATGACTAGAAATCGGTTAGTGTAAGTGCTTCAACTCTGTTGTTTTTCTGACTATTCTAGGTTCTTTACATTTCCATACAAATTTTAGAATAAGCTTGTACATTTCTACAAAAAAGCTTACTGGAATTTTGACTGGAATTGGGCTGGATCTATAGATCAATTAAATCAATTTATGAACAAATGACACTTTAATAATATTGAATCTTCTGATCCATGAACTCTCTATTTATTTAGGTCTTTAAAATTTCTCTCAGCAATGTTTTGTAATTTTCTAGATACAGGCCTTGCACATCTTTTGTTTAATTTACCCTTTCATATTTTTGATGCTGTAATAAATGGTATTGTTTCATTAATTTCAAGTTCTTGTTGTTCGTTGCTAGTATATAATAATACAATTGATTTTTTTATATTGACCTTGTATCCCGCAACCGTATTAAATTCACTTATTAGTTCTAGTACCTTTTTTCTTTGTAGATTCCTTAGGATTGTCTACATAGATTATCATGTCATTTGTGAATAAAGACGGTTTACTCCTTCACTTCCAATCTGGATACCTTTTCTTTTTCTTGTCTTATTGCACTGACTAGAACCTCTAGAACAACCTTGGATAGAAGTCGTGATAGCGGACACCCTTGTCTTTTCTTGATCTTAGGGGGAAATATCTAGTTTGTCACCATGAAGTATGATGTTAGCTAAGGTTGAAATTTATCAGGTTGAGGAAGTTCCCGGTAATTCCTAGTTAGCTTGGAGTCATCACGAAGAGACGTTGCATTTTGTCAACTGCTTTTTCTGCATATTTTGATGAGCATTTGGTTTTCATTTGTAATATGTTAATATGCCGAATTACATTGATTGATTTCTGAGTGCTGAACTAACCTTGCATTCCTGAGGTAAAGCCTGCTCAATCTGATGTATTATTCTCTTTTGTATTGTTGGATTCAATTTGCTAAAATTTTGTTAAGAATTTTTGGTGTCTATGAGGGATATTGGTCTGTAATTTTATTGTAATGGCATTTTCTGGTTTTGGTATCAGGGCAATGTGGGCCCCAAAGAATGAGTTGGGAAGTGTTCTATCTTCTTTAGTTATCTAGAAGAGCTTATGTAGAATTGGCAGTATTTCTTCCTTAACTGTTTGGTAGCATTCGCGACCAAAACTAAGCCTGGAATCTTCTTTGTAGGAAAGTTGTTGTTGTATTTTTTCCCTCTACAAATTCAACTTTTTAATTAATAGAGGTTACTCAAATTATTTCCTGTTGAGTGAGCTTCGGTATTTTGTGTCTTTTAAGGAATTTGTCCATTTCATCCCAAGATGTCCAATTAATTGGCATAAAGTTGTTCCTAATATTCCCTGACTATCCCTTTAATGACTGTAGAATCTGTGGTGGTCTCCTCTCTCATTCTTGATATTGGTAATTTTTGGTCTTCTTTCTGTTTTTCCCTGACCAGTCTTCCTAGAGATTTTTCAATTTTATTGACTTTTCTTTAAAGAATGAGTTTTTGGCTGAATCTTGGATCACTCACGTGTGGACTAGAAATGATTTCTAGAACATCTCAAGTGTGGCACTTTTCCTCTACCCAATTTATGCATGAGAGAGAAAAAGAGAGATCGCTTGATTCCTGGTGAGAGAAATGTATTAGTAGAGAAGGAGTGTGCTTCCCTGCTCTCCATGACCCTCATCTGCCCTACCATGCTTCTGTGCATTGTGTCTGCTCTCAGTTGTAATTTATTCAACCTTGCAAAGTGGTTGGGGAGTACATGGAAAACTACAAAACATTGTGGAAAGAAATTCAAGACCTAAATAAATGGAAAGGTATCCTGTGTTCATGGATTGGAAGACTTAATGTTGTTAAGATGGCAATGCTCCCCAAATTGATCTACAGATTCAACACTATCCCTATCAGAATACTAGCTGGCTTCTTTCCAGAAATTGACAAGCTTATCCTATAATTCATATGGAAATTCAAGGGACCAAGGATAGGTAAAACATACTTCAAAAAGAAGAACAAAATAGGAGGACTTACACGTCCCAATTTCAAAACTTACTATAAAGCTACAGTAACTGGTAGCCACATGCAAAAGGATGAAGTTGGACCCTGTCTTAGTCATCTAGTGCTGCTGTAACGGACATACCACAAGTGGATGGCGTTAACAAAGAGAAATTTATTCTCTCACAGTCTAGGAGGCTAGAAGTCCGAATTTAGGGTGCCAGCTCCAGGGGAAGGCTTTCTTTCTCTTGTCGGCTCTGGGGAAGGTCCTTGTCGTCAATCTTCCCCAGTCAAGAAGCTTCTCAGTACAGGGACCCTGGGTCCAAAGGGTGTGCTATTCTCCTGGTTCTTGTTTCTTGGTGGTATGAGCTCCCCATATCTCTCTGCTTCCTTCTGTCTTTTATATCTCAAAAGAGATCAATTTAAGACACAATCTAATCTTGCAGATTGAGTCCTGCCTCATTAACATAACTTCCGCTAATCACACCTCATTAACATCATAGAGACAGGATTTACAACACATAGGAAAATCACATCAGATGACAAAATGGTGGACAATCACACAATACTGGGAATCATGACCTAGCCAACTTGATAGATATTTGGGAGGACGCAATTCAATCCATGACAAACCCCTACTGTGTCCCACATAAAAAATTAACTCAAAATGAGCCAAAGATCTAAATGCAAGAGCTAAAAGTGTAAACCTCTCAGACGAAAGCAAAAGCATAGGCATCAATTTTTGTGACCTTGGATTAGGCAACGGTTTCTTAGATATGACACCAAAATTATAAGTAACAAAAGAAAAAACTGATATATACAACTTCATTAAATTTGAAAACTTCTGCTTCAGAGGACACTGTCAAGAAAGTGAAAAATCAAGCCACAAAATGGGAGAAAATATTTGCAAATTATGTGCTTGATAAGGGACTAGTATCCAGAATATATAAGAACTCTTACAATTCAACAATAAAAAGACAACTCAGTTAAGAATGGGCAAAGGAATTGAATGGACATCTCTCTGAAGAAGATATACAAATGGCCAATAAGCACATTAAAACGATGCTTAACGTTGTTATTAGCCATCAACGAAATACACATCAAAACCACAATGCGAGACCACTTCACACCCCTTGGGGTGGCTGTAATAAAAAAGACAGACAATAACAAGTGTTGGTGAGGACGTGAAGAAATTGGAACTTCACACACGGCTGGTGGGAATGCAAAATGGTGCAGCCATGTGGGAAACAGTTTGGCAGTTCCTCAAAAAGTTAAAGAATTACCATATGACCTAGCAATTCCACCCCTATGTATATACCCAAGCAAACTGAAAATATATGTCCACATAAATATTTATAGCAACATAATTCATGCCAGCTCCAAAGTGGAAACAACGCAAATGTCCACCAATGGATGAATGGATAAACAACATGTTGTATCTCCATACAACAGAATATTATTCAGTCAAAAAGGAATGAAGTTCTAACACATGCTACAACATGACTGAACCTTGTACTCATGTTAAGTGAAAAAGCCAGTCACAAAGAACTACATATTGTGTGATTCCATTTATATGAAATATCCAGTCGGCAAAACCACAGAGACAGAAAGATTAGTGGTTGCCAGGTGCTGGGGGTAGGGGGTAATGGGGAGTGACTTTTACTGGGTACAGGGTTTGCGGGGCGTGGGGAATAAAATGTTCTGGAATTAGATTGTGGTTGCACAGCTCTAGGAGCCCTGGTGGTTGTGTGCTTGGCTGCACAGGGTTTGATTTGTTTTGTTTTGCACGACTCTGTGAATATACAAAAAAACACCGAGGTGTAAACCTTGAAAGGGTGAATCTTATAGTATGTGAATTATAACCAAAACAAATAAAAACCAAACCCATTGCTGTTGAGTTGATTCCAACTCATAGCAACCTTATAGGACAGAGCAGAATGGCCCCATGGGGTTTTCAAGGCTCTAACCTTTCCAGGAGCACATTGCCACATCTTTCTCCCAAAGAGTGGCTGGTGGGTTTGAACTGCCGACCTTTAGATGAGCAGCGGAGCGTTTAACCACTGTGCCACCAGGGCTCCTTATGTGAATTATATCTCAATGAAAAAAATTTTTAAAGAAGTATTTTGGGAAGCAACATACTAGGTGGCCTCTGTTCCTGCATCTGTAAAATGGGTCAGAAAGCCTACCTTCAAGGGTCATCATGAAAATGAAATGAAATCACACGAAGCCAGAAGCGCTCAGAGAAGCAAACAGGAAGTGGGGTTGGGTCTGCAATGGAGAGGAGTGAGTGCACCGTCTCCTTGGCTCAGCTGGTCGTGCCTCGTTCCCTGGTGTCCCCAGGCTCCGTGACACCCTCGCCTGCACACTCATTGCCGTACAATGGCTGAGGACTGCAGGGACAGACGTCCCCAGTGTGACCGTCCATGACCACAGTGTCGGCCTGGTGCTCAGTAACCTGTCCAGAAAGAAGGCTGCTGCCCGACACCCTGGACTTTAGAAGCTCATGCTGGCCACTCGCTTGAAGCATCCCAGGCCAGTGTGTGGGGAGCGAACAAGCGCATCGTTTAATCACTCATTCCGGAATCCTGTCTGAACCTGCCTTCACGCAGACAGGACTGTGGTTTGCAGAAAGTGACGTTCTTCCCCCTTGTGAACATCACCGGTCCCTCACTTTCCCCAACATGATGTGCACCCCCAGCTGACGGCTGCCCAGGAGTCCAGGACTGAGCTGAATGGGTGTCCCCATTAGGGGGAGAACACCCCCCACCCCAGTTCTAGGACACTCAATGCCCCTCTCCCCCAGCTAGAGGGGCCAAGCTTCCGGAGGACACCTGAGGTCACTAGTGGGTGGTTCTCCCTGCCATTTTCCACAGCAGCACTTCTATGGCACAATGACCCTGAGGAGGACTGGGCTTTGCACGGTGAACCCTCCCGGAGCCCCTGGAAAGCTCGGCCTGAGAGCCCACAGGAGGAGAGCAGTGTGCTGTGGTCCCCAAGCCCGCTCACAGCCAGCCTGTCTGTTCTGAGCTGGGGATGGGGCCCACGGAACACGCTGGGAAACACTGGTTTGGACACGTCTCTAAGATCCGCCTTTGCAATAAGCAGGCCCTGTGAGATGCACCTCCTGGTACACGCTGGTGTGGCTGCTTGTCCTGCTACTGCCCTCACTGCATACCCAGGTGGTCCCTGTCCTCCTGTCCCTCTAAGCTCGTCCTGGCAGTCTCACCCCATAACACTGCACTTGTCACCTTTGGAAGCAGTTACACAGCCGTTCATGCTCGTTCATGGGCAGGAACCGTCCTGGTCACTGGCGTCCTGGCTTGGGGAGGGCAGTGGGGGACAGTGTCTGTTCGTGGTGAACCAACCTTCCACCGGAGGATGGCAGGTGGGAAAGCAGTTGCCCAAGGTCACAGGCAGAGCTGGCTCTGGAGCCTGGCCCCACAGCTAGCCACGGAGGGGTGCGGGAGCCTGAGCCAGGGTGCAGCAGCTGTGGGAGCGACATCTCCGAGTCACAGGGCCACCGGGGGGTGTCCTGAGTGTTGGGGGCCTGAGCTGCACCCTCCCCGGATAACAGGACCTGGGTGCCAGCCTCAGGACAAATGAGGAAGCTCTGGGCACCTGCTGGGGTGGATCTGGAAGGACCGCACTTGCATTGAGAGGGTTCAGATCATGTCTCCTGTGTGGAAAAGTTTCAGGGGCTTGAGGAAACGATTTAGAAATGGGCATGTTATGAGGTATCTCCCTTCAGGATGGAAGAGGTGACAGTCTGCTCTCAGGCAGCCCTGAGAGGCATCACACCTTGATGAAAAGACCCCGCCCCTGGGCCCGTATCCCTCCCTGTGCTCCCACTTGGCTCCCTGGGCAGGTGGTCTCGGTGGAGGAGCCACTTGAGCCCATCAGAGGGACTCCACCCAACCCCATGGTGACCCCATCAGGGAGCCCCCCACACCCCCTTACAGAGCGGTGCGGGTCCGCGGTGGTGTCAGGGGCATGGGGTGTCGTGCTGATTCTAAAGGGGCCTTTTGTCGCTTTGGTGACTCCGTTCCAGGTGCACCTTCAGTAACAGGCTTGGCGCTTTACAGAGGGCCCCCGGGGTTTTACTCTTCTTGATGCGTGCTGAGGTCGCGATTGACTCCATTGACCTCCGAGGCTGGGTGGGGAGGAGGGATTTGGAAGCAGGTGGGGGGTGGGAGTGTGCTGACTGTTAGGGGGCGGCGGGGGGTGGTGGGGCAGAGGCGAGAGGCTCAACTGGAGAGGAGGGGGCAGCCCCCAGCAAGCCCCCAGCCCTCTCAGGGCCTCTGCGGAGCGGGGCGGGGAAAGGAGCGGGGAGCCCGCGTCCCCCTCATCAGGATCAGGGCCCTTTCGGAAGTCCAGCTGGTGTGACCGAGTGATGAGGCAGCGGCGTCCAGGGCTTCCCCTAGACCAGGCCGTCACGCGCGGTTCGACTGCTTTCTTAACGTGGAAGACGGCAGTCTGCCCTCGGTGCGCGCGTTCCCTGGACCGGGAGCCCGGAGCCTCACCCCCGCCCCTCGCCCCGGCAGAGATCCAGAGCTTCTCGGGCGCAGAAAAGGACGGGCGCGTTGTTGGCGAGATCGCCTTCCAGCTGGACCGGCGCATTCTGGCCTATGTCTTCCCGGGTGTGACGCGGCTGTACGGCTTTACCGTGTCCAACATCCCCGAGAAGATCAAGCAGGTGAGGAACCGCTCCCCCCCCAGGGGTCCTCGCGGCGCCCCCGCCCCAGGCCCCGGCATGGCTGCGGGACGGTCCCTGGTATCCTCGGTGCGCTTGCACGAGGCGTGAGGAGCCTGCCGTGAGGGACGTCTACACGGCCTGTCTGGCTTTGACCCCAGACCGCTTCAGGAGTGGCCACGGGGCCAAAGCAAGGAACGGTGTGTGATGTGGTTTTCGCGGGCAGGTTGCCTCTTGAGGCCACTAGGAATCCAGGTTCCGTTTCTCCTTCCGGACTTGGAGGCTAGAGGGGAAATTTAGAGACTCAGCCTGGCCGGCGGGGTCAGCTCGGGGCCTCAGTTTCCCCATCTAAGCGGCTTCATTAATGAAATGCTCTTCTCTGTCCTGGAGGCGGCACCGCTATCCTCTACGCAGGGGGTCGCTGGAGAGCCGAGAAGGCAGAAGACCGGCCCCAGGCCACACGGCCCACTGAGGCGGTGGGAGTGCGCCCACCCCCCGACCCCAGGGTCTTAGCACTGGGTCTTTTCCGTGGCCCTGGGTTTGTGTGAGGCCTCCCTGTGTGGCCCCATCCCGCGCCCCCCGTGTCTCCACTCAAGTCCCTCCCCCGTGTGTGTCTCCTCCTCCTTCCTCCTGTGTGTCGCCACCCGCCCCCGGCCCGCGCCCTCTGCACCTCACTCGCTCCCTCACCCCCTGCTGTCTCTGTCCCCCGGAAGTCTCCCCTCCTCCCCGTCTGCTCCGCGCCCCGTTTCCTCTCCCCATCCCTCCTCCAGTGTATCTCCACCCCTGTCCCCCCTCCGCGCGGCCACCATCTCCCCTCCGACGTCCTGTCCACCTCACACGCCCACCCCCCGCTGTCCCCCAGGCCTCCATCAAGTCGCTGGACGGCTCGGTGGACGAGAAGAAGCTGCGCGACCTGACGCACCGCTATCTGACGCTGACGGCGCGCCTGGAGAAGCTGGGCTACAACCGCGACGTGCACCCGGTGTTCAGCGAGTTCCTCATTAACACCTACGGCATCCTGAAGCAGCGGCCCGACCTGCGCGCCCACCCGCTGCACAGCAGCCCCGCCGCGCTGCGCAAGCTCATCATCGATATCGTGCCGCCCAAGTTCCTGGGCGACTCGCTGCTGCTGCTCAACTGCCTCTGCGAGCTCTCCAAGGAGGACAGCAAGCCGCTCTTCGCCTGGTGAGCGCCGCCGCCGCCTCCGCAATAAACGTGTTTGTTCGAACTCGTCCTGCGCGTCCCCGGGCGCCGCCGCCGCCGCCGCCGCCGC